AAACAAGAGGAGCTGGAGATCTGTGTTCAGTCACAGGGCCATGATCTTGTTGCAGTTACTGAGACATGGTGGGATATCTCACATGACTGGGATGTTGTCGTGGATGGCTATGTACTGTTTAGGATAGAGAGACCAGGAAGGCAAGAGGAAGTCGCTCTCTATGTGTGTAAGGAACTGGAATGTGTAGAGCTTTGTCTAGGGGAAAAGGAAGAACCTGTTGAAAGTTTATGGGTAGGAATCAAGGGGCAGGCTAAACTGGGATATATTGTCATAGGTGTTTACTATAGATTGCCAGACCAGGAAGAAGGAGTAGATGAAGCCTTCTACAGACAACTGGAGGTAGCCTCCAGATCGAATGCCCTAGTCATTTGCTGGGAAGGTCACACAGTTAGGCACACACAATCCAGAAGGTTCCTGCAGTGTATTGATGACAACTTTCTGACACAGGTGGTAGAGGAGCCAACAAGGAGAGGTGTGCTGCTGGATCTGGTTTTAACAAACAAGGATGGATTGGTAAGGGGTGTAAAGGTTGGGGGTAACATTGGCTGCAGTGACCATGACATGGTAGAATTCAGTATCTCACAAGGAAGACGCAGAACCTAAGTAAGATCTCAACCCTAGACTTCAGAAGGGCTAACTTTGCCCTATTCAAAGAGCCGCTCAGAAGAATCCCATGGGCTAGGACTCTAGAGGGTAGGGGAGCCCAGGAGAGCTGGTTAATATTCAAAGACCACTCCCTCCAAGCTCGAGATAGGTGCATTCCTTAAAGTGAAAAATCGAGTTGGGGAGGCAGGAGCCCCCCATGGATGACCAACAAGCTGATCAGAGAAATTGCATGGAAGAAAGAAATTTACAGTATATGGAAAAAGAGTTTGGTCACGTGGGAGGATTATAGGAATGTTGTCAGGGTGTGTAGGGATGCAACGAGGAAGACCAAGGCCCTCTTTGAACTAAGTAGACATGGGAAATTACAGACCGGTCAGCCTAATCTCCATACCTGGAAAGGTGACGGAACAACTCCTGCTGGAGGCCATCTCTAGGCACATGGAGGAAAAAAAAGTTATCAGAAGTAGTCAGCATGGATTCACAAAGGGAAAATCCTGTTTGACCAATCTGATAGACTTCTATGATAGCGTGACTAGTTGGATAGAATGAGGGAGAGCAGTGGATGTGGTTTACCTTGACTTCAGCAAGGCTGTTGACGCTCTGTCCCACAATATCCTAATTGTGAAGCTCAGGAAGTATGGATTGGGTGAGCTGACTGTGAGATGGGTGGAGAACTGGTTAAACAACAGAGCTCAGAGGGTCGTGGTCGGTGGGGTAGAGTCTAGTTGTCCCCTGGGAGTCGTTACGGGGCCTAGCACTATTCAATATATTCATCAGTGACCTGGACTAAGGTCTGGAGTGTACCCTCAGCAAGTTTTCTGGTGATACCAAACTGGGAGGAGTGGCTGACACACCAGAAGGCTGTGCAGCTGTCCAGAGGGCTCTGGACAGGCTGGAGAATTGGGCAGGGAGAAGCTTCATGAAATTAATAAAGGCAAGTGTAAAGTCCTGCAT